TGAGAGAGGCAGGATGGATTCCGGAGGGAGCTAATAATAGGATGGGCGTGTGACCTTCTCCTCTCAAGGCGTGTGACTATTAATTAAAGTCTGCCATTGACATTTGTCAGACCATCACATGATCCCCAATGAGAACCCTTGGACTCTCTGGTGCCATGTCGATTATTATTTGCAAATATTGCTAGCTCATTAATCATGCATGTGTTGGTAAGAAATGGAGCTTTAAAGTCCTCACGTTCACAAGTGTTTGAAAGAAAAGTAGCTCTTGTTGCCTATGGTGACCATCAAGCTTCATCTTTGATTCATTCTACATGAAATATTAAAAAGATGATTTGTTGGGTTGGGTTGAGGGGAGGACTGGGCTAGGGGCAGGGGGACAATTGCATGTTATAGTTACCAGCTTCCCGCTCATGCCTTTGATCCAAGCAAAGGATGGCCTACCAGCACAGACAGAAAAGATGGGAAAACGTGTTGAATAAACCAATCGTATCACAGTAATTGGTTAGCATGGTAAAAGGTGGATGTTTCTAAAAGACATCCTTTTGCTTGGATCAAAGGCATGAGCAGGAATCTGGTCTTTTAGAAACATCCACCTTTTACCATGCTAACCAATTACCGTGATACGATTGCACACTATGGTACTTTAGCTCACAAAAATGTGTCCCTACCATAACAGGGGCAGTTGGTTGTGTTTGCCCCCCAGGCGTAAAGTCAACCATAGACTAAGCAGTTTACTTTCCTGCAACCACAGTTAGCGGGAAAGAAAATCGCTCAACTCCCCCATCAACACAGTGTTAGTGGGGGAATCCCTCCTGTGGAGCCATTGTGTTCATCTTCTGGGTGGTCCCCGCGGGGGGGGACCCCGGTATTTATTGCTAGTAGCTATATTAGCTGCTAGCAGTAATTGCATATAAAATCAGACAGGCTGGTTGTACCCAGGTTGATCGATCAATCAACTTAGGTACATTCAGCCTGCCCATAAATTTTTCAAATCTTGGCTGGTTCAGAAGGGACACAGAGTATGTCTACAGCCAGCTTAAGGTTCCCAGTCCTCTCCTGGTTTGGATAAGTGGATTGTAAGCCTGTCCATTACAATGATCATTCCTCTGTAATCTTATTGTGAATTGTTTTTAGCCCTGGTCCTTGGGGAATGCAAAGTGGGCTTGGCTTCTGATTTATGAAGGAAAAGTACAGCTGCAATGCCCATAGCAAACTTTCTAAAGGAGAGCTTGGCAAAGGCAGTCTATATATTTATTTCTGTATTCAGGCTTCATGAGTTTTACATCTCTGGCATTTAATATTTGTGTGGCATCTGGCCATGACATGGGAATGTATGAAGTGTGGTACAATTACATTGTGAAAATCAAACAAATATACAAGTAACTAGTGCTGATTAATTGCACATGGGTGTATAGCAGGGGTCTCTAGACAAGGGGCCAATTACTGTACTTCAGACATTAGGGGGGCCGGACTGTGGGCCCCTGGGAGTAGAAAATGCCCCAACATCATTGGGAATAAGCCATGCTTCTGACTTAGTGGTCAGTGGCAGTAAAAAAAACAAACCAAAAAAAAATGGCACCCCTGGTCAATGGAAGTGGGAATAGTGCCCCATCATTTGTTTTTGGAAGAATACTGCCCCATGAGTGGTGTCATTAGAAGGGACAGTGCCCCATCCATGGTGTCATTGGGAGGAATAGTGCTCCATCACTGGTATCAATGGAAGGAGCAGTGCCCCATTGTTGGTGTCAGTGAGAGGAATGGTGTCCCAAGGGCAGACAAAGGACCACAGTTTGGAGACCACTGGTGTACAGGAAACGCATCTTAAAGCTGAATTGTAGCTTAAGCATCTATCCTTCTTCTTTTTTTTTTTTTTTTTTTTTTTTTTTTTTTTCTGAATGCTTCTGAAAGCAATGGGTCATGATGGTGTGGTTTCCAGGCTTGTGACTTCCATGTGCATGAGCCCTTAATGGCTCCAGCCTCTAATAAAGAGAATATTGTAGCTTCACAGTCCTTAGATGTGGGGCCTTTTGTTTTGAATTTATTTTCACCTAGTGATCCTGCCAGTAACATACTTCCAGTCCTAGGGTGACTCTTTTATGCTCATTCACTGTACAGTATCTATGGAGAAACAGTGGTGTCACTCTAGGACAGCTATTAGTTAGGTTGTTCCTAGCTGTGTCTGTGGACTACAGACCCCCACTATTTCTCCATACGTGAATGTGTATTGTAGTTCATAGAGGGGGCTGGGAACAATGTGAAAGAAAAACAGCCAGCAGAGGAAGAGAACACAGCTTCAGGGAAAAGCATGGCTCAGTGTACAATTAAAAGAACATTGCTGGAAACCAAAAACCTTTTTATTATATATTTTTATTATATTGTTGACTGCTGGAGATGCACTGATGCCCTTCCTTTTTTTTTTTTTTTTTTTTTTTAATCGGCGAGTACAAATACCGATACTATGAGGTGTGATTTGCGTCAATACAAAATGTATTGATGCAAATTGCATAGCAAAGAATAGCATGTGACTTGAATTTGCAAGCATAGTATACATCCCCGAACACCCACTATCCGCTGAGGGAAACCTCCCTGCACTGCTCCTGTGTGAACTCCGAACTATGATGAGCCTGGGTTCACACAGGAGCAGTGGGGAAACCGCATGCGATTTTGGACAGAAATCGCATTCCTGATCAAAGCGCATGCTCTTTGCAGTGCAGTTTGTATCGATGCAGATCGCACTGCAAAGTAACGGTTTCCAGTATCGGGAGCATTTTCACCAGTACTCCTGAAAATACTCGGTATAGTTGCATCCCTAATGGAAACTATATATATATATATATATATATATATATATATATATATAACCTATTCTACTTTTTTTTATTTAACTTCTCTGAGAAGCTTGGCATTTACATTCTTTCATAATTTTTTTTCACGTCTAGAGAGTAATTAGTTTCCCTAAGTCTGATACAGGATGCCATATGTTCTGGCCTGCCTGGCTACGCTGAGCTCTGTCTGGGCTGGGTTTGGCTTGGCTGGCTAGACTTGGATGGCCCTGTCAGAGCAGTATACATTTTTGCTACAGTTAGTAAAAGGGGGTCAGGAATAAGTAATACAGAGTTCTGGAGTCAGTAGTATGCAACACTGAGTGCAGGGGTCAGAAGTAATGCAGAGTGCAGGGGTCAGGAGTAATGCAGAGTGCAGGGGTCAGGAGTAATGCAGAGTGCAGGGGTCAGGAGTAATGCAGAGTGCAGGGGTCAGGAGTAATGCAGAGTGCAGGGGTCAGGAGTAAGTAATGCAGAGTGCAGGGGTCAGGAGTAAGTAATGCAGAGTGCAGGGGTCAGGAGTAAGTAATGCAGAGTGCAGGGGTCAGGAGTAAGTAATGCAGAGTGCAGGGGTCAGGAGTAAGTAATGCAGAGTGCAGGGGTCAGGAGTAAGTAATGCAGAGTACATGGGTCAGGAGAGTTTTTTTTAGAACAGTGATGCTCTCTTTACTCACCACTGGCCATGAGTGATTAGAAATATTGTGTACCAAATATCCTTAGAAATTATCGGTCACTAAGCGTCCCACTGATTGAAAACAAGTCTTTTCCAGGGAGTTCATCTGGACTAACCTGCTGCTCTCAAGTCACTGGCATCTAGTGGCTGCAGGAGGTGATGCTGGGTGAGTTCTGTGGGTAGGCAGAACTGTCCAGTGGGACTGAGCAGCCGGAGGGCACATCAGCATCTGCAACAATTGACTGGGGTTTCCGACTCCTGGTCTAAACTTTTTTGCCATACTTTTACTAAAGTACAAGAACTTTGTAATGCTTGCAAGTACCTGTGTTATGCCTGGTACACATGATGAGAAAATTGGCCAAAAAAAGATAAAATGCATTTGGAGTGATCATCTGATAATCTTTTCATTAGTACACAGCTTTTGAGAGCCAATCACAACCGTTCATGTGAAAATATCCGAACGGACAAGCATGAAAATTTTTCTCTTGTAACAGAACGGAGGTTTTCACATAATTAGTATAGTATTTGTATGAAAAGAAATCAAGTGACAGACCGCGCATGCTCAGAAATGAAAATGTACAATACGACACATCACTTCTGAAATTGGATTCTGTCTTACAAGCATTTTTGCAAATTTAGTAACATTTTTTTTTTTTTTTTTTTAGCATGCAAAAAAAAAAAAAAACACAAAAAAACGGACGATCATTCGTCCAATATTCTCATTGTGTGTATGAGGCTTTTGCCCTAAATCTGATCCCCATGGCCCAGGTTTTAGACTTGGTTCACATATGTGCGGGTGGTGCCGCTGTGGATCTGCACAAAAATCTATGCAGCCGCACCACCCACACAGAAGAATGCAGACCTGCGGGCGGGTGCCATTAATTCTAATGGCACGCCGCCCACACTGGAAATCACAAGCACACTGGGAACTGAGGTTCCCATGCGGGCTGCGATTTCCAAAGAAGTGCAGGAACTTCTTCCCTGCGTGTCCTGGGGCACGGGATTCCATTCAAATAAATGGGCTCTTGTGCCAGCGCAAAACGTGGCCCGCACAGCCACATATATATTATATTGTACAGCGCTGAGCAAACTGTTGGCGCTATATAAATCCTGTATAATAATAATATATGTGAACCGGGGCTTAGAAAGGGCCTGAACTTCTGTCCCAGTTGTAATGAGGCCTATGAGTATAAATGTTTTCCGCCAGGTTCACTTTAATGACTATGGTTTGCATTCATTACCTTTTGTAAATCTGAGAAATAATTCATGCATGTGCTACTTATTTGTTCACTGTAATCCTTCCTCTTGCTGCCTTACAAATCCGTCTGGGATGGTCACTCTGTCATAGACGTGAAGCATGCTCCACAATACGGCCTTCTATTATTCTAATGTTTCCTGTTTTTGCTTCCCACTTTCTCTGCTTCTTTCCTGGCTAATCCTCTCTCATCACCTCAATGTTTCATTGTGTTTGTGCCATTGCCCCTTGCCAGTATTAACACATATCTCTCTTCCTTTTGCTAGCCGGATTGCCTTTTGCAATTCTCAATTTGAAGCATAGCTCTTTCCAGCGTGGATTTTTCTGTAACGACGATTCCATCCGCTACCCGTACAAAGAAGACACAATTTCTTATCAGTTGTTAGCGGCCATAGTGATACCGCTCAGTATTATTATTGTAAGTGCTTAACCATTCTTTCTTTCTTCATCTCAGGGGCCCTTTGACTGGTGTCTGCTTTCTTTTCAGTGGACTTTTGTTGCAAATCTACAGAATGACCGTATTCTGGAAAGGCCCTTGATGTAAACAGTTGGGCTACTTTCACCCTGAGGAGTTTTTGAAGCGTTTTTGTGTTAAAAAAAGCGCTTGAAAAGCTCAAGAAAAATGCTTCCCTATGTATGTGAATGTATATCTATGTATGATTTCACACTGAGGCGTTGCACTTGTGGTATAAAAGCTCCTGCTTGCAGCATCTTTGGGGCATGTTTGGCAAGTTAAAAAAAAAAAAAAAAACACCCTAAAAACGCCTCTTCATATTGAAAGCAATGGAAAAGCGTCTATAAAACACCTGAAAAGCACCTCAAAAATGCCTCTGAGAAGTGTTTTTGGTGCAGTTTTTAAGTTACGTGTCCTCCTAACAAAAAAAAAAAAAAATTTAAAAAACGCTTAGCATGGCAAAAGCGTGGTAAAAACGTCTATGCGTTTTTTGCTGTGTTGTTGCGGCAGATCAGTGTGAAAGTAGCCTTAATTTAAAGACCAAAAGTGTATTTATGATTTTATTTTTTTTCCTTTAGGGTCAGTAAGGTCTACTTCAGTTTTAAGTTGCATCAAAACAAAAGGTGTACAAAGTATCAGTTTGTGGGTTTTTTTTTTGGGGGGGGGGGGGGGGGGGGTTTGGAAAGCAGACCCAACCTAAATATAAAAGCATGTTCCCTACTAGAAGGGGACATGCTTTTAATTAAGGATGCTTGCTTCCTGTGGGGAAGCAGTGGTCTCTCTGTAGAGGTCTGATGTGCTCACCTTTTGTCAGCCTATGGTTCTGCAATCAGTTAAAGTGTTACTAAAACCCATGTCCCTGCATTCTCTATATCTGGTCTCTCACAGTACATAGAACATGAGAATTAAATTTAAACTGCTAAACACCTTTTCTCATCAGATGTCAGAGCAGTCTTGTATTTGTGACTTCTTTTAGTGTCCAACTGAGCACTGCTTAATCTTGTAGGAGGCGTTTTTATTCTCTTCCCACTGTCCTGTGAGACTGCAGGACCCCTGACCCTCTGTCAGGACAGTTCTGATTGGCCCTGTGCTGATCACATGCACTCTCCCAAGAAAAAATAAACTCTAGCAATACATACCAAACTGAGCATGTGCAGCATGTCCCCAAGGCTCTGTTCTATCAGGAGATGAGTTGGGGACAGTGGAACAAGGGGAGGATCAGAGAAGACAGGATTAAACATCCTTTTTACACAATGCGGAGGATTAAACCCTTAGGTTCCACAGTGAGTATACAAAGCATGCTTTACTGCATATACAGACTGATTTTACTGTTTGTGGGTTTAGTAACCACTACAGCGCGTTTTTGTCCAGTTCTGGGACACAGCTGCTCACATGACAAGATAAAAGGCCAATCACAGCGGCCTTTTACCACATGATCAGCTGTATCCAATGACACAGCTGATCACAAAGTAAATACAGTTTCCGGTTATCAGCGGCACATTACTGCTGCTGCTAACTGGCAAGTGTCTCAAAGGACATCTGCACTGATTATCAGGCCCCTGATTATCAGTGCAGCCCCAAAAATGCCTATCACTGCCCATTATTGCCACCTATCAGTGCAGCATCATCAGTGCCTCATCATCATTTCCCACCAGAGCCGCCCCATCAGTGCAGCCTCATCAATGCACATAAGTGAAGGAGCAAAATTACCTGTTTAAAAAGTTTTTCTTTTTTTCTATTATAAAATTTTGCAAATTATTTGCTTCTTTTTCGTTTTTATAGTGCAAAAAATAAAAAAAACCCAGTGGTGATTTAAATACCACCAAAAGAAAGCTCTATTTCAGTGAAAAGAGAGAATAAAAATTTCATATGGGTACAGTGTCACAATTCTCATTCAAAGTGCTATAGCACTGAAAGCTGAAAATTGCCTGGGCAGGAAAGGGGGGGGGGGGGTAAAAGTGCCTGGTAGGCAAGGGGTTAAGCTCATGCTCCTTGCTGATTTTGACTGCTGTATCTCAGACTCAGAAGTGGGCTTGTCAGGTCCATGCAGAGAGATCACTGCTTCCACACAGAGAGAGGGTCCTTCTCTGCAGCACATTGGCAGGGGACAGGCTTTTCTACTCCGGCTGTGGATATCTTCTAAAGAAAATGAACTGTAAGACTTTGCACGGCTTTTTGTTTTGATGCATTTGGAATATTTTTGGACGATTTAAACTTAAAGTTCGCTTAGGCTTTAAGGTAAATTGTGATGTATTTTCAGTAAGTACAGATTTCCAGTTAGTCATAGAAGTTACTGTTCAATGGTACTAAGCTGGAAGCGCATCCTTAGTAATAGGCACATCTATCTGTCCCAAGTTAGTGGTGATATTATTATAGTATATAAAGTGATATTAAACCTGAAAGCAAACATTTTATTATATTGCAGCTTACTAATTCTTAGATGTGATGGCTGCATTAGTTTTCTTTTTTAAGCTTTATTTCTTTTATTTTCTCCTGGTGATCTGGCTGGTAAGTGTTTTTCGACAGAACAAGCTCTCCTGCAAATCTATCAGTTAAGAGTGTTGAGACAAACCATATTATTATTATTATTATTATTATTATTGTTGTTATTATTCAGGATATATTGTGCCAACAGCTTGCGCAGCGCTTTAAAATATAAGGGAGACACTACAATTACAATACATTTCAGTACAGAAGGAATAGGAGGGCCCCGGCTCGTGGAGCTTACAATCTAAAGGAAGGGGGAGGTAGTACAAAAGGTGAAAGCTGCGGGGGATGATCTGGTGGAGGTGATTTCAAGTACAGTTCTTAGGTGGAGGTGGGGTAGGCTTCCCTGAATGAGTAAGTTTTCAAAGATCGCCTAAAGGCAGACAGGTTGGGGGCATACCGGACATATTCTGGTAGGGAGTTCCAGAGGATGGGATAGGCTCTGGAGAAGTCCTGGAGGCGAGTGTGATATAAGGCCATTGGCATTGAAAGCAGGCGTTTGAGGGGCATTTTAACCGCTCCTCAAATGCCTATGCAAATGATACTATAGACAGCACACAGTGCTGTGCACATTATCAAAACATGTGTAAGCGTCTCGTTGCTTCAAAATTGAAGCCTTATGTTGAGTCTAGAGGTGATTGAAGCCTTTCAGCACTTCCCATTGAAGTCTATGTTGAGGCTCCTGAAACTGTTTATTACAGACATTTGTGGTGCAATTTTAAAAGGCGTCAAAACAGCGCATAGGGCGTTTGGGGAGCGTTTTTAACGCTTGTAAAACACCAGGCTAACGTCCATACTAAAGCTCATTAGCGCCTGTCTACTGCCCATACTAATGCTATAGGAGCATTTGTTAAGCGTTCGTAATTTAGTCAAGTGTGAACGAGCCCTAATACTGACAGGGGCGTACAATGATCAGCTGTTATTTATTCATGGAAAACCTTTATCTCACAAGAAAAAAAACTGTTGCTGTAACTGCAATGTGTACTGGAGTTTGGCTTCAATTTGTTAGTGTTTGTAAATCTGCTAGTACATCTAATCCCTCCAGATTAAAGTTGGTCATAGATGGATTGATTTTTGATACATGTATGGGCAGGGAGGTTTACAGAAGTAGATCTTCCATATAACCACTCTGTTGTATTTTCCCAGCTCGCTCAGCTCTGCAGACTATAGCCTGCAATTCTGATCAGTGTATTCTGACAGCGAGGAAATCTCCCCACTGTCAGAGAACACTAGTTCAGAGGGAAGTATTCCTCCATCTACATAGTATGTGTGTTGGGGGAATCAAGTCAATTACTCGTTGGTTGAACGAAAAAGAATGGACTCCTCTATGGGCTACCTAACAATGCAGCTGTCAGAGGGGGAAAAAAAGCCTAAAAAAAACAAATGCAGCCCCCACATCTAATGACTGGTAAGCGGCAATATATTAAATATTTGGTTATTGGTATATTACCGCTTTAAATGCTTCCTCCAAAGGCGCGCCTGTGCCCAGACTACGGACATTAAAGTATTTACATATTCTTAGCAAGCAGTAAAAACATTAAAATGAACCCTCTCTGACTTCTCTTTCTATTTGTACTGTGAAGGAATTTAATTCCAGAAGATCCTCAAAGATCACAAAGACTTGAACGTTGGTTTCAGTTCCTTTCCAGCAGCCTAGAACAGCCTTTTGTCACCTTTTTATTTTTAACATGAGAATAAATGTTGAAAGTCCTGAACACCAGCACTCCTGGCAGGAACCAGCTGATTGAAAACGTGGAAAAAGCCGAATTTTGACGCTTTCAGAGGTTTGAGCATTACTGCATTCTATTTGGCAGAATATTAATTCATTCCATCCATTGGAATACATCAATTCTCAAACCCTAGCCGAATCTCACGTTTAGACATGTTTAGGTGCATTTTGCGTTTTTCTGCTCTTCAAACTCCCTCCGGAATGCGCCTTTTGAGTTTTGTTTTTTTTTGTGTCTGTAAGCCGTCCTCTCTGAATATGGCTGTAAATATCTGTGTGCGTGGACACACGTAATTGCATAGGGGTGCTTTCACAGGCTGAAAAAAAAAACATTGAAGGCCTGTAAGATCTGCGTTTTTTTTTCTTTTCTTTTTTCTTTTTTTTTTTTTTTTTATTTCTGTGCCTGAGGCCATAGCAAACACTGGTGAAACCCAGGGACTGACCATTTGGAAACTCTGGCACTGCCCGAGGGCCTAGGGTCAGAAGGGGGCCCCATGAGATGCCCCTGGTACCTTTTTTTTTCATAGGCTTTTTTGAGTTTGGGCAAGGACACAGGGGCCCCATGATCCCCTATTGCCCGGGGGCCCCATGAGTTGTCGGTCTGCCCCTGGGTTCCACAGAACCCTGGTTGAACAAGGCTTGGTTGGAAACACCTTCTGTGTGTTTTATATTAGGACTGGCATGGTGCCAAGTTCTGCTCTCATTGTAAAAGAAAATGAGATTTTATTGGGAAATATGAAGATGAATTTCC